AAGTTCATAAACCAATTAGAGGCCCGGTGAACGGATTCGTGCACATTGAAAGGAAATTAATTAGAAGGTGGCCGGTGGGGCGGGACTGGGCGAGACGGGCTGGACACACCCTGGAACCAACCTGCCATGATCCTGGCCTGCCTCACCTAGGGTGGCACTGCAGCTCGAAGGGCGTCTGCGTACTGAGTGGGGTCCCTTGGCAGGTGGGGTCCCTCGGCCTGTGGGGATCAGGCCAAAACGGCTGACATCCCCTGAGGGTCCCAGAGTGGGAGAGCTCCCTCCTCTCTGGTTCCAGGGTGTATCACCCGAGAACCACCACTGCCAAGTCACGGCAGATGGGCAGCTCCTGCTTTGAGTGTCTGCCCCCTGGTGGCCAGTGCGCTTCATACCTACCAGATGGTCAAACAGTGGGACGGCCGCTTAGCCTTTTATATATGCCTGCACGTGGTCATAATAATCTGGCCACTCAGTGTATATAGATGCCTGCACCTTGCCATGCAAAGTGTGGTCTTCAGATTAGCCACATTGGAATCAACTGGGAGCTTGTTAAGAATACACAGTCTCGGGACACACACACACACAGCCCTGCTGAATTAGAATCTATCTCTAAACTTGTCCAGGGCAGTTACACACCCTTTTCCCAAGGCCAGCTCAAGACCGCCCAGCAAGGATGTTCCCCTGTCCTGAGCAGAGAAGCAACCTCTCTCCCTCCTCCATACTCAGAGGGGCACTTGGACCTACATCTGTGTTGGGCACTTATGGCAGCGTCCCTTCCTGGTGGTTGTCCTCTGTTGACTCGTCTGCTTTCCAGGTTGCACACCCTGGTGGGCAGAGACCCTGCCTGGTCTGCTCTGTGTCGGCACAGCACTCCGCACGGCTGCCCACGCAGCAGGGGCTCATGTGGTAAGTGAACCAGTGACTTTTTCTGCTTCCTTCTATCCAACAGATTCAGCAGAGGTGGTGCCGGCCTCCTAGTTCCCGCCCTCACTTCCATGCACTCACATTTGTATCCCAATTTAAAAGCAACTTCTAATACAACTTGAAAAGAACCTTAAAACTCAAGTCCAAGTCTATTCCGACCAACTATCTCCAGGTCCAGGACAAGTACTGTCTCCTGTGGCTCTCGTTGCTAGGAGGTGGACTAGAAAGCCCTGGGAGACTCAGGCCACTGTAGAAGTTCGGGGACTCCGTGGTTCCCCTCTGCTGGATTAACCAACACTCACAAGACTCCTGACTGTTGTGGGGTTGGTGGGGGTGGGTATGGAGCAGCTATGAATTAAATATGGAGTCATTGGGCCGCCTTGTGGCCATTCCTGGGAACTGCATGTCTCCTGTGTGTCACCACAAACTTCCTCAGAGCCCATCCATTTATGATGGCTCTAGCTGCTTTGGCTCAGGGGGTAGAGTGTCAGCCTGTGGACCGAAGGGTCCCAGGTTTGATTCCGGTCAAGGGCACATGCCCTGGTTGCGTGTTTGGTCCCCAGTGGGGGGTGTGCAGGAGGCAGCTGATCAATGATTCTTTCTCATCATTGATGTTTCTCTCTCTCCCTCTCCCTTCCTCTCTGAAATCAATAAAAATATTTAAAAAATAATTTATGGTAAACATAGCCACAAAACAATTAAATTCTCTTTCCAAACCCCCACTAAAATGAAGAAAAGGAATTTAAAAAGCATAAGACTATGAAGACAAAAAAGGCAAGAGACATCTGTGAGAATTAGCAACTATTGAACTAAATCTTTTTAAAATGGGAGTTGGAAAACAGAGCTGACTGTTGTAGGACAGAAGTTACAGCCTACATGTCTCAAAGGAGGATGCCAATAAAAAGGGAGCAAATTTGCCCCGCATCCCCATAGTTCCAGGATTCAGAGGCACCGGTTGTCATGGGGAGGTCAGACATGTGGCAGGCAGTCGGTTACAAATGGGGTTGGGTAGGAAGTTTGTTTAAAATAGTGGGAGCCCCAGGTGTCCCTTCCTGCCCCTTGTTGTCTGCAGAAATGGAATGACAGAGCCTCCAGGCTCAAGGACGCCAGGCATGGGGAAAGGTGGGGATGAGGCAAGGGACCAAAAACATGGAGTTCAGTGCACAGTGGCATCTCGAGGGATGGCCTCCTCAGATTCATTCCTTCTCCCTTCCCTGGAGTTTTGGCAGCCAGGCATACGTACCCAGGTAAAAGGTTCGGAATGTCTCCTCTGGAGAACCTGGCCTAAGAGAAAAGACTCACAATACCATTGGCTGGAGGTTTACCAACTAAAAGGCCAGGTCGTTGCAGATCATTCTGTGTAGAAGGTCTTCAGTCATCAAGGCAGATGAACACGCATAAAGCTTCCACTCTACCTAAAACATATGAAGTCATCCTAACGTAGAAAAATATAGAAAAACTAAGAAAAATCCACACACCTGACACCCAGATTTAGCAGATATTTGCATTCAGTCAGACCTCCAGTTCTTTACCTTACAGCTATGTGTTACAGCTGATGGGCCATGTGCTTTCACCTTAACATAAGAGAGAGAATAAAGCCCTAGCTTGTTTGGCTCAGTGGACAGAGCATCAGCCTGTGGACTGAAGGGTCCCGGATTTGATTCTGGTCAAGGGCACATGCCTGGGTTGCAGGCTCAATCCCCAGTAGGGGGTGTGCAGGAGGCAGCCAACCAATGATTCTCCCTCATCATTGATGTTTCTATCTCTCTCTCCCTCTCCCTTCCTCTCTGAGACCAATAATATATATATATATATAAAAGAGAGAATAAACAACTAACAAAAAAAGGAAACGAAAAAAATGCAGAAAACCAATGAAAACCCCTGAACTCACTTTAATTAATATTCTTGGATATGCCATAATATTAAATCCATAAGGCAAAAATAGGATGGATTTAATATTTAATGGATTTAGTACAAAAAACACACAAAGAATGAGATAGAATTCACTAAAATAAGAACTGTCAATGGAAATAAAAGATTTAAGAGAAGAATTAGAAGATAAAAGTCAAGGAAATGTCCCAGAAAGTAAAACACACAGACCAACAAAAGGAGATGGAAAAGAGGAGGAATTGATAAGAAATGTAGAGGGCTAATCCAAAGGTCAAATTTTTTTGATTCACTAGAGGTCCAGAAAAAGAAAACTGAGAAGAAAGCGGAAGGAAGGTGATGATGGGAGAGAGAATATAAGGAAACCTCCCAGAATTGAGGAATACTGGTCTCCAGATTGAAGGGGCCTGGCCTGTGCCAACACACACACACACACAGAGAGAGAGAGAGAGAGAGAGAGAGACAGAGAGAGAGAGTTAGTTCCTGCACCAAGGAATGCTATCATGGCATCTCAGAACTCCAGGAATAAAAGAAGAGATTAAAAAAATATTTTCAAGGCACCCAGAGGGACAACAATAGGTCACATACAAAGAATCATGAGCCTAAATGGTATCACTTTTCTTAAAGTAATGCAGAGAGCTAGAAAACAATGGGGCAATAGCTTCAAAATTGTGAGTGAAAAGACTTTTCCCTGTAAAATTCTATTCTCCTTCAAATTACTTGTCAAGTAGGAAATGATGTATCCAGATGAATGCCGTCTTCCCTTGCTCGCCTGCGCAGGAATCTATTAGCGGACATTCATTCTCCTGCAACAGGGGAAAGGACCGTGAGGAAGAGGGAGGCCCGGGCCCCAGGAAACCAGCCCTGGAGGGCGTGCAGGTGGCCTAGGAAATAACTAACCAGTCTGGAGAGGAACTGGAAGCCTGGTCTCCAGGAAAACAAGTGGGGGAGGTGGTGCTGATGTGTTACAGCTGATGGACCATGTGCAAATAATGAGGACGTGTTTTATCAGGTAGGGAGAAGGCTCTCTGAGACAGTGGTTCTCAACCTTGGCTGCACATTAGAATCACCTGGGAATCTTT